AAAAAAAAACAAAAAAAAAAAAATTAACAGTGCTATTACTATGTACAAAAACGCTTCAATGGTGATATGTGCGATTTCTTAGCTTTTCCAATTTTTATTATAGCGCCAAAAAAAGTCGACATAAAAAAGATTCACAGAAATAAAAACCAAAGTTTGACATCAGAAAGAATCAATGAATAAAAACCATGTAACTAATCGCATGTATATTATCACTTATAAGTATCACAAGAAGAAAAAGAAAGTGAACCACGAGTCACGCACGACTGATGAAATAACAACAAAATGATACGGTAGGTGTTTGGAACACCTGCAATGGTTTCATATATAATCTCCAAGATTACCAAAAATTTCTATGATGTCGGCAAAGCAAGAACATGATTACCCAATATTGATTCATACTTCAGTCTTCAGTGCAACTAATTGACTCCAACCACACGTGGCAGCAGAAGAGCAAAAGCAGTTTGCTGGGGCAAATCGTGATAGCCTCCGAAAGTCAAAATGTACTTAATAAGCACAAAAGACTGATCAAATGTAATCACAATTGCCGGATCACTTTAGCAGTTTTACATGGACTTGGACATACGAGATAAATTTTTGCACCTCAACCAGAACCACCCCATGCCAAAACATCAATCGAAACCTGGCATGGCGAATTGGGTAGCAAAATTTTCAACTTGCAACCGGAGTTGTACAATTTCTTTGTTGTTTGCAAGCCCCTTTAGAAAAGATTTTGGCAGCTTCCCGTGTTCTCTCTGCACAGAGTTTGCAATCTGAACAGCTCGAAGTAGAAATTCTGCCATCATCTCAAAATCAGCTTCGAGACAGCCTCTTGATGTCATTGCAGGCGTACCTGTGGGATAACATATAATACCTTTATCACAAGTTCACATAAGCACAGCATATGCATATACCAGTTGCCAAAATAATAGGTGGATGTAATCGTAACAGCAAAAGGCATGATGTTCATACCAATCCTTACGCCTCCAGGAGTGATGTTTCCATTGTCATCAAAGATTGTGACTTTATTAAGGGTAATGTGACAAAGTTCACAGACCTTCTCAAAGTTTTTACCTATACATAGCAGAACATTTATATGATCAGTACAAGCAGAAAGACGGGGTGAAAGGCCAACAGGCTTATTCAGGAATCGAAGTCTACATAAAATTTCTATCATAGCATTCACCAGAATGTAATATTATAGCATTCACCAGAATGTAATATTAAGATCAGTACAAGCAGAAAGACGGGGTGAAAGACCAACAGGCTTATTCAGGAATCGAAGTCTACATAAAATTTCTATCATAGCATTCACCAGAATGTAATATTATGTCATATTGACAACAATAACATTTAGGCACATTAGTATTACAACATTTTGAATTTTAATAACCAGAAACTAGGCAGTAATTAAAGACCACAATTGATGTTGTCCTCCATGAGAAACTAGACCAGGTCAAGACGAATCATAAACCCAATAAAGATAATCTTCTGTCCTTGCCCTAAAATAATCTGCAGTAAAATATTAGGGAATCTTCAACAAGGACTCTCCCAAATCAGCTGAAAAGAGAGTGTTAGCCCATTTTGTGAATCACTAAATCATCAAACAAAAACTGTGATCACTTTGTAGCATGATTTGATCCAACTCAACCCATATAGAATTGAGAAAAATGTACTGACGGAGTTGTTCAACCATACTTTCATATTAATTGTTGCAGTCATCCCTTCAATTACTGTCATTATCATTATCTCAGCATTTTATACGACAGGAAACTTGATCAAGTACGGGCAAAACAAAATGTTCCACAATCTGATTATGAAACACAAAGGACAAAAAAAATGGAAGTTCCTAACAAGGTAAATTACTTCATAAAATCATAAGTCGCATCATAGCGACAACGGACATACCAGTTAATCCGAAATTTCTTAGATCCCAAAGCAACATGTGACTATCAGTGCCCCCTGTGACCAATTTACAATTTCTTCTCAGCAGAGCTGACGCTAGAACCTGAGCATTTTTCTTAACCTGTTGCATATAAGCCTTGAACTCAGGTGTGGCAACTTGCTTCAGTGCTATTGCCAGGGCAGCAATGTGATTATTGTGGGGTCCACCTTGCAATGCCGGGAAAACAGCAAAGTTGATTTTTTCCTCAAAATCATATCTATCGCTGCAATCTCCTTGAGTCAAAAGTATGCCTCTTTTCTTCGGTTTTGGCCCCTTCCTGTAGAAAATAATTCCTCCCCTGGGCCCTCGGAGACTTTTATGAGTAGTGGATGTAACAATGTCACAGTACTCGAAAGGACTTGCACACTCCTGAAAAAGGTTTCAAGTGCAGTGATATGAATACTTGAAAGTCAATAGAAGGATAAAATACCAAAACATGTGCATGATAACAATGCTAAAGAGAAAGCACGCTTATACAACAAGATGCAAAGACTAGTCTACAAAGTGAAGTTAAAGATGTATCACAACATGATGTGCAGCAGTTAATATAAGTGTAAAATATGTAACCACTTAAATTACCAAAAGATAGGTAGAAAATATTGGAAAACAAAATTAAGATCATCTTCAAAAGCCAGGAAAATACTATCACCATTATCTGTTAGGAGAAACGCACTGTACTTGTGTTGTGGGCAAGGATGTACGGCAGTGTCCCTTTGTAGACATGTGCCCTAAAACCTTCAATAACACTGAAGATAAATCTCACTAGCCAGAGAAGAATTACATGCTTTTTTTATGAAATGAATCTGACAAATCAAGAACACTTCACATGGACTATGACTTGAAATAGCAAAAGCTCAAATTTTATCAGTAACACACAAAATTCTAAGCACATGAAAAACATCATCCGAGAAATTATAGAACCATCCATTTCATTGTTTGTGTCTTACCTGAATGCAATGACAACACCTAGGGTGAGGTCTAAAAAATAGCTTAAACCACCAAGTGCAAAAAATAAATTTCAAACTAGCATGCAATTTCCTAAATTAGAAGGAAAACTAGCCAGACCAGCTCATAGTCAAATAATCAAGTTTCAAAGCATACAGATTTACATCTGCTCAGCATAGCCACATTGTGCTACTTTGATTTTAAGGTTGCCCAATATACTAACTATATTTTAGAGACATCACTTCATCAATAATTAAACAAGACTGATAGCTCAAATTTCAAATACTAAACAAAAAGTAATAATTAGGATTAGTTTTGGGAAATTTCTAAAAGACTACACTGCGATAATCTAGACCTTTCGGTAGAAAATATGAGTGTCTTTCAATGGATGAAAGTATACAGTGCAACGTCGGACATCAAAATATATGGAACCAAGTAGCTTGAGCAGATTACATTATCAACAACTTAAGCAAATCGCAACCTATTTTTACCTTAGCAGCAATAAGACCGCTAATTTGAGCCATGTCGCATAACAAAACCGCACCGCATTTGTCTGCTATCTGCCTAAACCTTGCATAATCCCATTCCCTAGGATACGAGCTTCCACCGCAGATCAATATCTTGGGGCGAAAATCAAGTGCCCTCTCCTCAAGCTTATCATAGTCCACGTACCCAGTTTGAGGATTCACCTTGTATGGTAGATTCTCGAAAAATATTGAAGCTCCCGATACTTTCCTTCCGTTTGGCAAATAACATCCATGGCTCGTGTTCCCTCCAGAGGGGGTGTCCAACCCCATTATCCTATCTCCCGGCAACAAAAGCCCAGTATATACAGCAAAATTGGCTGATGTACAAGAGTAAGGCTGCACATTCACTCCCCAACTCCCGGAATCCAATCCAAAGGCAGCCAGTGCACGCTCCCGACAAAGATTTTCAATCTCATCAATGTACTGATTCCCACCATAGTACCTGGCACCCGGCATACCTTCTGAGTATTTATTAGTAAGGTGGCTCCCGAGAGCTTCCATCACAGCTTTGCACACGAAATTCTCGGAAGCAATCAATTCAATCCCCTTGAACTGCCTCTGCTTCTCCTTATCCATAATCATGAAAATCTCAGGGTCGGCATTCTGCAAGGTCTGATTGCCCCATGCCTTCACTGCACCCCTGCGTGATTCCATCTCATTCGAAGGATCCTTAGATCCCTTGTTAATGGAACACATGGATGTTGAGGAGCCCAAGTCACTATCCCTTTTCCTCTTCAGGGTCATGGAGTGCCCCAGAATCCGAAACTCCTCCACGTCATTCTCGTCATCCTCTGTATTGTTGTTCTCGTTCGAATTGTTTTCCACACGGCTATGGCCATTGTTCTCCATCTGCTGGTCCAGTAATTGGAGCGGGACCGAGGGCATGGCGTGCAGAGATTCTCGAACCCTCGACTCGATCTGAAAAGAAATTGAATCATCGGCAACTTTTGAGAGCCTGCCGGTGTTGTTGTTCGACGGGGTCGCTGAAACGTGAGACGAATATCCTAAAGACAGGCCGCTATTCCCCGGCGGTCGAGTCAAATCCATGATTACAATTCACAAACAACAGTATTAAACCAGTAACCGGAAAAAGAATCACTGTTAACTCTCTTACTCGGCGAAATCAAGACCCTAAAAAAAAATCGAGGAAGACGAGAATTCAGCAGCGTTGACAACACCACCGACATGAACACAAACAACCCCCGCCAGATGAGAAGAAAACGCCGGAGAAGGTGAGTTCGATCGCCGTAGCTGTTGCATAAACATCCATGGAAATTACAAATTGGCGTTTTGAAGGTTTTTTTTTCTTTGTACTTTTGGGGCAGACACGCAGCAATGGAGCCACACCGATGAATTAGAATATTTATTTTATTACCTAATAATAAATAATAAATAAATTAATTTACCAAAATTTCACGTTTCCAGTCTTTTGACTACTAGTAGCCACGGGCCATGGCCGAGTCACATCCAGGCCGGTTCGCCGAACTGACGGTGCCGAGCAGATTCAACCAAGCTCTGGGCCGGTTAGGTCAATTTCGAGCTGATTCAACCTATTTCGGTCCGTGCGGGTTGGTTTTTATTTAAAAACAATTAAGGATTGGACTTGGATTTAATTGACATATTATAAGTCAAAATATCAATTTAGTACGTTGAAGAATATTTCGGGTTACACAATGAATTATAACTTGTAATATGTCAATTAAGTTGCCTACGCATCACTTACCTTGAGAAATCAAAGTCCTTGTAGTTCTCTTACTATACTTACCTTGATTAATAGATGGTAGGATTGAACCGAGTGTCTAGTCCTCGTAGTCGTATGTGTCGTACTCCTCTTCATTTATCGTAGTTCCACTAGTACTAGTAGTAAAACCAGATCCCTCATCTTCTTCATCCTCTTCGACAGTAAGCATTGGCTTTTGTGCCCTTATTTCGGCCTTCTTCTAGTCTCAGCAACATTTAAGCCTCTAGATTTTGTGGAGTCAACCTCGACTGTAGTGCGTCCAGTGTATATCCTCCCTCGCTGAATGATTGTTCAATCGCCACTGTTGAAGCTGGGACAACGAAAATCTCCATAGCTATCAAACGTCGAATTGATAAATGGTAGACATCTTTGACCACCAGTTCAAGACGTCGAATTTTTGCGGTGGAACTGGTTCACGAGCAATCGTAATTATCAAATTCGTCGTGAGGTAACTATTGAGCTCACTGTATCTAGTCCCCTTTTCCCTTTGGATCTTAGTATTTTTGTACGGATTAAAATCATCTCATAAGTCATGAAAGTCTCAGGCTTGTTCCGTTGTCTGTCCCCATTGTCCATAAGAAAATTTTGAAGTCATGCTAAGTTTTTCACACCGCCCAATAAAAAAGCTAAGTTTTTCACCCCCAAAAAGTGCGAAAGACATTGTGCGATGAATATGCGACAATTGCGCGATGACATTGTGCGAAAGTTAAAAGTGCGAAGACTTTCGCATATCCTTCGCACTTTCTGGGGTGAAAAAAAAGTTAAAGTGCGAAAGACATTGTGCGATGAATATGCAACAATTGCGCGATGACATTGTGCAAAAGTTAAAAGTGCGAAGGCATTCGCATATCCTTCGCACTTTTTGGGGTGAAAAAAAGTTAAAGTGGGAATGTATTATGCGATGAATATGCGACAGTTATGCAATTGATATGCGACAGTTATGCAGTCTATCGCATAACTTTTGCACTTTTCAGGGTGAAAAAGTTAGATTGTTAGTGGGCGGTGTGAAAAACTTAATATATCTTTGTATTGTGGTAAAAAAAAAAAATTCCCTATTTCGAAAACGTAAGATCCTAAAATTGTTTGATAATAATAAGAAAGATATTACAGTTCCGTTACAGTACAATCCCGTCGGGTGTTTTAATTGTTGGATCATCTATCTTATTTAACTTTACGTAAATCCAACGGTTAAAACACTCGACAACAAGACGATATTGTACCAAAACCCATTTCCCAATAATCATTGGCTACAACCCTCGTTTTTTGCAAAAGCAATGGCAAAATGTACATCGTTACAAGTAACCTAAAAAATTGGTACTATACAATCTTATCATAAAGTGACCAATGAAAATGAAACAAAAAAAGGTGCTCAATTCTACTTGAAAAAAAAAATAAAAAAAGAAAATATGTTGTAAAAAAAGGACACGATGAGGACCCCAAAAAATTATTATTATATTCCGTACTATAGGAAATAATAATGCAACGTGGCAGCATAGTTTCTGTATTAGTGGAAAAGCATGCGGTGAATTGCCGCCTTCAGTCCCTAACTGACAAAGGCACGCATTAATACACACACAGTCCCGCATTAATACCCTTTTTTTCTTCTTGCTCTTTCCCTTTACCATCATTTGGTGAATCTGAGACGGTGAGAGAAATTCAGCTCCAAAAATTTTTACGTCTTCATTGTGGGAGAAGAAATAAAAATTCGATTGACATTTTGATGTATTGAAGACGTACGAGTGGGAAAGATAAACGAGTAAAGTCGGAATTCTATTAGAGAGAGGGGCGACCAAGAAATGGAGACGAAAATCGAAGATGGCGGTTTGGGCCCAAGTGGGCTGAGGCCCGAAATGGAGATTGGCAAGGGAAATGGAGATTCTTCTGAAAAAGATGAAGGCTTGGCGGCGAGGGGCGAATGTGAGAATGGAATAAATTTTGTGGGCGCTGGTGAAATTAGTGAACAAGTTGGAGGTTACAACAAAGAATCGCCGCCGGCCGACGACGTTTGCCCGATCTGTTTCGATAGGTTCTCCGTCCCCTGCAGGTCGAATTGTGGTCACTGGTTTTGTGGTAAGTGCCCTTTTTTTTTGGCATTTTTGTTCCTGATTTTAAAGAACTGATTTTGCTCTGTTTTGTTTTTTTTTTCTAATTATTTTCCTTTTTTTTTTCTGACCGTTCGATTGTTTCTGCTGGTAACTGGTGAATCTTGATGTTTTGTTTGGTTTTACAGTTTATTGGCTGTAAGTCTCTGTTATCTTCGATTATTTTTGTTCTGTTTTGGATTAGAAATTGTACATGGATAAATTATGTGTTCTATCTTCTTCTTCCAAAGGATTTCCTTTGTTCTACACTTTTTTTTTTCTTTCTTTTTTGTGAATATATTTCAGTTTTCTCTTTGAGTTTTAGCACCAACTCATTAATCATTTCTTTATTTGAATATTTTGCAGCAAGCTGCATCTTGCAGTTTTGGATGTTGAAATCCTCGGTTGGGCCGTGCAAATGCCCCTTCTGCTATACTCAGATAATCAATCTCAAACCCGAAGCATCTTCACCTACACACACACCGGATGACGCCATTCAAGTCCTTAAGAAAGTGCATCAGTATAACAGCCTCTATGTCGCTGGGGCTCTTGGTGTATTCCCGGTATGGATATAAAATACCGGTGACTCTATATATATATATTTGTAATTCTTTGGGTTTTTTTCCCGTATTTTTTGTTTTTTGTAAGGCTTGATTTTTGAAGTAAATGTTATACAGTCATGGAATTCATGTTTTGATTTTCAATAGGTAATGTTTGAGTTAGCAGAAGTTGATCAAATCGAAACTACTCTGGTAGAATATATATATATACATAACTATCTACAGGATATATGTGTTATAACTTAATGAAAAAGAAGAGAATGATCACACATCTCCCTATGTTGTATAAATTAATTAAATACAATTCTCTTTCTATGCCTTGGATTATGCCTTTTCTAGAGGCTCGTCATTTCGTGTTCGAAATATCCGACTGGGGTTGGTTATTTACGCTGTGTTTGAATTTGTCTGTTAGCTACTTGTCTTATGGATTTGTTTATCTCCAGTAGTTCTACTCTGAGAACATTTGTTTATAATGTACATAATGTGCAAAGATGATTCATGATTCTGACTTGTAATTTACAGAGACTACTAACTGTGCGACTCTTCATGCGGAGAGCGTTGGAACCCGATGGCTTGAGATGCATCTATTATGGAATGCGGCTTCTTGGGGTAAAGTTTGATTGTAAAGAGTTAGTCATTAGTATTTTGTATTTGTGTTGTTCAATTGATGCCTCTCTCTCTCTCTCTCTCTCTCTC